TGCCAGTCTGAACTAGGTGGCTGTGTTCCTATAGTAACTAGGCCTAGCGTGCCACCGTTTTTAACTTTTCTAAGCCGCGCTTTAATCATTACGGGGGAGGTCTTGCATTGACTTCGGGTAACAAAATGACCAATCAGCATTTAATTACGTATGCTGTGAGCTAGCGAATGTTTCGCGAGCAATGTTTTGAAACACATTTCCTGGTTACGGTTCATTATTATGCAAATTCTCGCGCCTGGCTAATCCTGCTAGTTTGAACGCCCAGCAAGGTTAAGCCGGGCTTAATGTTGAGTCAGGCTTAACTCAAGCCCACCTTATCTCCAAGTCTGAACGTAGCCTTTATGTGCTAGAGTACTTGTTATGTTCACCACCTATATTAGTTCTCCTTGTATTATGTTCACCACCTGTATTATGTGCTCCTTGTATTATGTTATCCGTACTATGTTATACACCCATATTTAACTATGTAGACCTACTTCTTAACTGTACTATTATTTCCTCTTGTATGTTTTTTCATTATTTATTTTCATTTTGTTCATTACCTTCTGTATATTATTTTCACCACTTATATGAGATGTTACCCACCTATATTATGTGTTCCACAAGTGACCAACTGTAATGTTGTTCACTCCCTACAATTTCCTTCCTCCTGTTCTTTCACCTGTATGTTTTTTTACAAGTACCACCAACCTACATTGTAACTCTTTCACAGTTCCTGATGAGTTATAAATATGACGCAATATAAGACGGATATATGCATATATCTCTATCGCCCATCTGGTTATACAGGTATATTGTGTTGTATTTACTTATTCCCTACTACTACAGAATTAAAGTAAAATCAGGCCATATTTGTTCATCATATCCAATCATTTGTTACTAATTAATCCATCCTTTGATTGAGGAAATGTTACTAATTAATTCTCTGTTAAAATTACTGTACTAACTACTCTAATATATTTCATGTATTTTATTAGTCTATAATCTTGATTGATTTTGATAAGATACATCCTTTTGTGTGTCCACAATCATTAATGTTTCCTTCCTTTCAATTGAATTTCATTTCCTTCATTACATCATAACATTAGGATACAAAGTTGTACTTGAACCTAATTGTAAACAATAATTTCAACAAAAGAGTTGTGAAAGAATCACCTAAATGAACTTTACACTGTGGGTTTCTCAAAGTTATCCATTTCTACAGTATATCCATCCATTTATCTTACTACTTTATCGTTCTGCATTTATCTTCTGTTTCTCTAAATAGGCCTATAGTCTTCCTGCAAACATCTTCCATTTTTCAATCACTTTTCCATTCTAACACTGTTGACGGGCTGTGAAGTGGTTCATACCATGTCTCAGCCTAACTGTAGGTGCAAGTAATGTATTTGTATATTTTGTGGCTACTTTGCATCATGCTAACATCAGGTGTTTTTGGAGGTTTGCAGTGTATTTTTACAGTAGGTATTTTTAACAAAAAATCAAGATTTTACGCCAAAAAAATAGGTTGTTATGAACGTAAATTATATATTTTTTTTTTATTAAGATACCAAGTTGAGTCCTTTACTATATTGATTCAATCACTATCACAAGGTTTGGATGGGGTTTGCGGTGTTTTTTTGGATCATTTTCAAGATTCTTTTAATTACATACAAGTTCAGGCATAACAACGCACCACATCACATCACAGGCTTTTTCTTTTTTCTTTTTCTTTTTTTTGCTGGCCTAGGCCCTACTGTGTAGGCTTCTTAGGCCTAAAGATTTCAAAAACTGCATTGGTGCCAAGCCAAATCTTTGACAAAGGCCATAACAGACACTAAATTTTACATAAAAGATTTGTTTGTACAATATTTAATTTAATAGGCATTGTGTTTCCGTAGGCTAACTGCTGCAGTGCTAGGCTAAGCCAGGCAGGCCTAGCTTAACCATAGGTCTAGGCCTAGTTATAGTAGTACTTAGGCTAGTACTTAGGCTTCTTGAAACTCATTTTTTGACTGACTAATGTTATGGTTGATAAATTAGTCCCAAACCAGGATGGTGTCTGACAGAGGATAATGTAGTTTACATATTGTAGTTAAGAGTAAAGTACAGTATTTAAGACTGTAGTTAAGCGTACATGTAAGCGTAGTTAGGAACATCCTGTGTATGACATTAAACTCCATCATCCGGTCGAAATGTCGCAACTAACCTGACAACCCTCTCAGATGTGTCTTAGTGGCTGCTGAGGGGAGGGTGTTTATGGTCACCCAGCAGCAAGAAAACCAAAAGCTGAACAAAGGGTGGATGAGCTCCTCGGAGTCAATGGCCAACCATTAATTAGGAATAGAAGTAGTTTAGCCTCATTGTTATTATTCTCATTCCTCTAGTTTATTCTCCATTTTAAATTTGCTCAAACTCCCTGATATCTCTTTCCAATAAGGTATTTTTATGTATGCATCCTCTCACTCAATTTTACCATAAGTACTTTGTGATATCTTCAAATATAATTCCTCTCTACATAATTACTGTACTCAAGGTAGCTGATGTATACATTCCCAATTATAAGACTAACTATTTTCAACATATTAGATTTACTGGCCCTAAGCTATGGAATTCTCTACCTCCCCTAGTTGTCGATTCCATTAATAAAAACTCATTTTCTATCCAGCTCAAGAAATTTCTTTTCTGTTTGTTTTTCTTGTCTCCCTTTTGTCTTTTTGTTGTTTCAGGCTGACTCGTCACAAGATGATTTTCTTCCTGGGTCTGTGCCTTTTTCCTTTTCTCATGAATTTGTTATGATCTTGTATTATATTTTTGTACGAATTGAAAAGGAATTACATAGATGTTGCTTTGAATTTAATTGAATTGAAAAATTCTCATGATTATGATATTATTGTTAATAATAATAATATATTGGTCTTAAATAGCACTTCATGCATAAAGTCTCTAAGCGCTTCACATTACTACCCCGGTCATTGGATCAAAGACGTATGGAACACACACTCAGCTCCCTGGGGAGAATTCCATAATATTGCAGCTAGTAATCAGCGCAGTTGTGTTCGAACCTACCAGGTACCCACTTGCACTCCTTGGTAGAGAGATGCAACCATTATTATTATTATTATTATTATTTTATTTTGTTGTTATTTATGTTTTCTTGGTTGGCGTATATTATTTCTGTGTAAAGCACATGGAGCAATGTGCAATATGCGCTATATAAATAACATTATTATTATTAATATATTAACTTAAGATATTCTACAATTGGCTTTTTGCTGTTGGATAATTATTTGAAGAAAAAAAAAGAAATAAATAATAAAAATAATAATAATAACTACAGGTACTTTATTTTAACACTGGAAACTTGATCACCCAAGGGTGTTTTTCATCAAGGCCGTGCAAGGCCGTAAGTGGTAAAATATGAATACAAAATATGAAAAACCATAAACATTTGAAGAATTTTATTATGTAACAAATATTATAAAATGACAAGTAAAATAGTACTTATCTAAGTCAAAATAATTCAAAACATGTACTGCATTGTTTCAATATCAAAAGTTAGATTACAGTAGAATATTTAATGTTTGCTGAATATCTATTATAAAAATTAAATAAGAACAAACTTAAAGTACATTTGTGAAAGTTCATGTATATCATCTTCAATCGATATGTCAAAATATGAATTTTCAAGACCTGCAATAGTACTGTATACAGTATTGTAAGAGGTTGTTTAGTCATGATAAAGCATGCAGTGATGTTGACATGATTTCATTAGAGATTGTACAATGAGGCATAACAGGTCATACAAGGGTCAAATGATGTATATATTGTAATACTGTATAATTTAATATGGGATATATACTGTAGTAATGTAGTCAGGTGTGCATAATGTGAATATTTTAAAAGATATTGAATGTCAGGTGCCACAGTGAGGTTACTTCTAAGCTATTGTATTTTAATACTCGAAGTTGATTTAATATTTAAATATAAAATCATAATAAAATATATCCTATTTAATTTAGGGTTTGTTTTATGTCTATGCCCCATCAGGGGAACTGTGTTTTGGTCTAGCGGTAAACCCTGTAAAATTGAATAAATCTGGTATAGAGAAATGGTGGGATGAGTCATGAGATGGGTATTGCTAAATCCCACACACCTCCAAAAAACACTGCAAACACCATCCATCAGATGAGCTGAAGATAAAAATGATTATAAGACCTGTCCTAGAAAGTTCACTAAAAAATCACTACAGTAAACCACATATATCCTGATATCCAAATGCCCATGTGGATACTTTGTTAGTAAACATAATACCTACATTATTAAGGCAGTATAGGGCATAGACACACGTTCCCGCTGGGAGCCTATTTTTTCTGAAGCAGGAGAAATTAAAAAGATTAATCCATAATTTCTTTACTTTTTGGTATATTCCTTCTCATACAGTAATGTAAGAAAGGGTGTTCTCTTCATCTAATATCCTTTCATTACTTTTTATATGTCTTAAGTAAGAACACTTTATTCCCATCATAAACTAAGTGTTAAGCTACATACTCTTTGGATTTGAATAATTTAAACCAGAAATAGAATTCTTATAATAATATTGGTGATAGATGGAATATGTGAGTCACATTCAAGGTCATTGGCAGTAGTGTGATTAATTATGAATCATTCTTTATTGACAAACATTATAAATTAGTCATTCTCCCAAGAGGCTGCTGGAATTAAAAATGGATCACAATGGAAAGGTGCAATACTGTAGGTTGTTGTTGATGGAATAAGGTGACAGAGGAATTAAAGTGGGTTGTAGAATATGTTGGTATTTGTAAGAGATGAGGATGGTTTGTATTTGTTGTTATTGAATAAGATAATATTAGTGTTTGGCACCTAGGGTAAGTGGGAGATTGCATACAGATGATGTTGCTTAGAATTGGTAACTACCTGTACTTAATCGCTAATTGATATTTCAATAAATGTTAATTTCAGCCTATTTCATTACTTTTTACATGAATTCTTTGTTACAGGTTCGTCACGGCGGTGTGCATCGTACGATGAGGATGCACCTCTGTGTGGGACTGTAACTGTCATGACATCACAGCATCTAAGTTCCACGTCGTCATCACATAACATGACGGACAACCAGAAACGATTGCCGACTACATTTCGTGATCCGGCAAAGGCTCCTCTACGGAAATTAAGTATAGACTTAATTAAAACTTACAAGCATATAAATGAAGTGAGTACCTTTATTATTGAAAAATTATCCAATGGGCTAGTTCCTTAATAAAACGATAGTACTGTAAACACAGATAGATTAGAAGTGAATAATAAACTGTGAATAAATACTGATGTACATCAGCTGTCATTGGACGATATAGTTGGACATCAACATGCAGTATTTTGTAGCTTATTAATCTTCTTTTATTTATAAACAATCATGAATGTGCAGTCCACCAAATTCACTGTCAAGAGACCTACTATAACATTAAATTAGTGCATGAAATTTGTGAAATAAACAATCACATTGAAGTAAATCATTATGTAAATACTGTAAGCCCTACAATAAATAATAAGAGGTGAACGTACTGCAGTAGTAAACAAAAATGTTAACATATTCAGAAAATGAGTGCAGTGTATGGAGTGCAGTGTATGGAGTGCAGTGTATGGAGTGCAGTGTATGGTAGTATAATACGTACTCCAAGTATTGAAATGCACGCCATCATGTCGGGATTCAATATTTCAACATTAATTATGTCATCATCACGAATCAACATTATGTCATCATCATTCTTGGCATAATTAATGTCCAAATATTGAATCCTGAAACGATGGCGTGCATTTCGATACTTGGTGTGTTCGAACGAGAACAAAAAAAAATTATATAGGGCTCTTACCGGTATTGTATCGACGAGTGGTCTACCTATTCGTGCAGAACTCGGCTTTCAAAAAACCATTAACCTCTGATGTAAGATCTAAGGTATGCAAATGATGAGTTTTATCAAGTTTCCTTGGACCCTTGCGTCACCCCACGCTTTAATAAGAAACGAACATTGGCATTAGAATTAGAGGCACACTAGTAAATATACCTGTGTAGGTGCAGTGCATAATGGTATTACAGTAGTTTAGAGAAAAGTGAAAGGATAATGCTATGTGGGTATTCATTACTATAGTGGTTATAGTAGTCATTCTATATTTCAATTTGAAAAGTATCTATTATTGAAGTATCAAACACATGCTCATGAATTATACTATTTTTAATGTGTGTTGTTAGAGGAAATTAAATTAATTATTTTATTTTAAAAATTTAGATTTAGAATTAATAACATAATGACACAACCAAGTCCACACAGTGACATTGTGCATTAGTAATGCTGCATTACTAATGCATTCATGTAGTACGTGCTATGTGCATGGTTTGCTTTTAATCAAGTGATGGTGTTGGAGATTTCGATCCATGTTGTTGAAGGCAGTAGCATTGTACATATTGCAATTCAAAACATCATAGAATTGGCAACAAGCCAGCGTCAACCTAACATCAAAATGATGAATGTTGCTGTTCTGCATATGAGAATGAATGGTTTCGACTAATGTTAATATTGCAGGGTGTTGTCTGTTCACCTATGTAGCCATGCGAAAAAAAAGTCAATGAAATTCATTATAACCAATATAATATATTATAGTTCTTTAATTTTTTAAATAGTACACATGTTTTTTCTGTTTTGTGAAGAAATTTTCAATATTTCCTAAGTTGCTGCGGTAACAAATACTACAATACCCAATATAATAATAGATGGTAAATTCCTATAAATACTGCAATCCATTGCAGGACTTTTTCAGATTTTGGGGGGTTTTTTTTCAGACTTTAAGTAGGTTTAATTTTTTAAATATTATTATGATTTTAGGTGTATTACGCTAAGAAGAAAAGACGCCACCAACCTGGGAATGAAGATGCTGGCCATAAAAAAGAGAGGCGGCTATACAATGAGGGATACGATGATGAAAATTATGATTACATTATACGAAATGGCGAGAAATTCCTGGATCGCTACGAGATTGACTCACTTATAGGAAAGGGTTCATTCGGTCAGGTAAGCAATATCACAAGAATATTTAATACCTGCTTCCAAATGCATGTTATTAAGTTCTGCATATTTGGTATTTATATGTAGATAGAAATTCACAAAATTTAACTCTAAGTAAAAGCATTCTACATAGTTTAATATCTACAATATGTTACTTATTAGTTTGGCTTGTGGTAATATATCATATATCAAGAAAGTGGCAGTGTTGTAATACCATTTATCTGTTTTGTATAGAGGCATTAACAAATCTATGGTTCGAATCTGTCACTGGTTACTGTGTTATTGGCAAATGCACTTTATTCACATTGCTCTAGAGTTTGCCCAAGAGTATATTGAATGCCAGAGCAATGATAACCACAATACTCTTTTCCACATAGTTACCTCTCTGTGGAAAAATGTGTTGATGGGTGTTTGATTCAATAACTGAGGTAATAGTGTCAAACACATAAACACCTCAGCATTCTGATATCTGTAAGACCGACATTGATCATTTGATGTGTACTGTATGTTAATTATTTTCAAAAGCATGCTTTAATGTAAAGTTTATAATCAATTGGCTTTATTTTTAGGTTGTGAAAGCTTATGACCTCTCAGAACAAGAATGTGTAGCAATTAAGATCATCAAGAATAAGAAACCTTTCCTTAACCAAGCACAGATTGAAGTCAAATTACTAGAGCTTATGAATAAACATGATGCAGAAAATAAATATTATATAGGTAAGTTTCTATTTGTTCAATTATTGTAAAATATTAAAGATAATCAAGTGGTATTTCTTGAAGTAATTAAACTCAGTTTGATCATTAACTTTTAATTGCCAATTGGAACATGGAAATATTTCCTTTCCAATCTATAGACTAGATAATACCTTTCATATTCTTAGCATAAATCAAACTTAACTACAAGTATTTTGACATGACCTATATTCATTGCTCTTTTGTAGCATAAAATAGCATGTGTTGGAATTTCACTTTGCTAATGTAAAATAGTTTTTAGATGTAGTAGTAAAGGAAGAGTTGTCTTTGCTGTATGGTTGTTTCAAAGATCGTTACTGTATCTAGAAATAAGCTTCCTTAATTTTAGACGTAATACAGTAGTAAAGAAAGAATGTGTGTTTCCAAGTAAAGTGTGGAAATGTAATTATAAAAATAAAAAACAGGAATAGTAATGTCAACAATAAAAGTAGTTTTTGTATATGACTCCAACTAAAATGATTAGAGCAGTGACTGTCATATTAAAAACAATATCGGACATCTATAACTGTACAATATGTTTTTATCGCCATTGATTGTGGTTTTTTTTTTATACAATTTTGTCATGTTTTCTTCACATGACCTCAAATGCCTAATGTTCATATTCATATCTGGCTGTTGGAACTGCTTCGTTGACCACTGCTCATTATTAATCCATGTTGATTGGCTACTGCAAAACCTAATGCATAATTTGGATGTATAATCATGTAATGGTGCGTTCATTTAATTTGCTCACTCCTACAACATACTGATCAAGTGACTGGATGAATAGGTTGGGCTGATTTCCAAATGCCAGTGAAGTCTGAAGATAAACTAATATTGAATGATGCAACCAACATTGTTTATATATAGTATACAGTAATGAGAGAATTTAAGGCTATGTGACCCAAGATCAAAAAAGGGCTGTAAACTCCACCGTGCTGTATTGAGAAACGCTTTCAATTAAAATGTTGCTGGTTCAAGCCCTTGAGTACTTTATCCACATTGTCTCTCACTACCAAAAAGTGAAGTACAGTACTTTCTTGGTATAGAATAATAATAGTAATAATAGTAATTATAATATAATAATAATAGTAATTATAATAATAATAATAATAGTAATTATAATAATAATAATAGTAGTAATTATAATAATAATAATAATAGTAATTATAATAATAATAATAATAATAGTAATTATAATAATAATAATAGTAGTAATAGTGATTATAATAATAATAATAGTAATTATAATAATAATAATAGTAATTATAATAATAATAATAATAGTAATTATAATAATAATAATAATAATAGTGATTATAATAATAAAGAGTAGAAGTGCAAGAGGTGCGATTCTCTGGGTTTCGTTGCAACGCAATCATGACACAAAAAAATTACTACCACGAACTACTGTAGAGGGCGCCTTTCAAAAGAATGTAAAAGATGTTCTTAAACAGGGCACCCCTATCTCATGGTAGGACTTTTTTTAACGTTCCATTGCGTGATACAAATCTGGAATTGTATACTCTTTGGTAATGCTATTCTCCTCAACCAGCAGACGAAGAACTTGGTCTCATTTTTTTTGTCAAAGATTTACTGTAGTTCATAAGTTTGTATATTATTTTCCCCAATAGTACTATTTTCATTGATAATGATTGTGTTTTGAGTATTGTAAACGATTGTTACATTTCAGTTTTTTTTTTCTTTCTTTTTTACGTACCATTGCAATTTTTATTTATTGAGCAAGTCTTGAAGCTAACCTAAAGTCAATATTATTTTGGTTATTATTTACGACTATTATGAATATTACTATTCTTATATTACAGTTCGGTTGAAGAGGCATTTCATGTGGCGCAATCATCTTTGTCTAGTCTTTGAACTTTTATCATACAATCTATATGACTTGCTACGCAACACAAACTTTCGTGGTGTGTCTCTTAATCTTACAAGAAAATTTGCGCAGCAAATGTGTACAGCTTTGCTATTTTTAGCAACACCTGAAGTTAATATTATACACTGTGACCTTAAGCCAGAGAATATTTTATTGTGTAATCCCAAGCGAAGTGCAATAAAAATTGTGGATTTTGGAAGCTCATGTCAACTGGGACACAGGGTAAGTGTCAGTATTTGATGGCTTCCAGTGAATACAAATGAATTTATTTTTAGATGCATTTGTACATGTTTCGCATCCTAAGTTAAGGAAAAGCTGTTGATCTTTCGAACAACTTGGCATGGAAGTTGACGTATTAGTATTTAATGGCCTGACATTTTGGCTCAGACTAAGCCCTCATTGAAACAAACATTACTATGCTCACTTGTAAATATGTACGTGCTTTACAACCTAAACACATTTGTACACATTTTCTACCTAAAAATGTAATACATTTTACAATTGTTAAACCCATCTACCCATTAAGTACATTACACCAGACATGCATTAAAAACATGTGCATGTTTTAAAACCTAGACACATGTAAACATTCAATGCCTGAAATAAGTGTATTTAAACACATAGTACACAATTACTAAACATGTACACATGTTTCACAATAGAATTGTATGTTCACGACCTAAACTAATGTTAAATGTTCACCTACAATCATAACCTTATTATACAGTAAAATGCTAAACATACTCCATGAAATTGTCAGATTTTAATAGCTTAAATTTGATACAGTAGTTGCATACTGTGCACTTTAATGATGTGTGTTTTTTGATGTGAGTGGGTGGAGCTGAGATTGTGCTGGATAGAGAAAAGCACAGACAAATTCAATAATATTAATAATCATACTCACATGGTGCGTGTGCAAACGCTACCCAGCTGTTATGAATATTCCATATGGTGTGATACTACTAGAATTGGTTTATTTTTTAATATTTGATTTCATCATCCTATACTTCCCAAATCACAGAATTGAACAATAAAATTTACAACAACCAATACAAATTTTTTAAAAATAAAAAAGGTGTGACATAGACCTAAATATGAGACATATAACCAAAGCCTTCTCTGGAACATAGGTTCTTTGTTTACTTGACCTAACCTGATAAAATGATATTAAAAGTATTTTAGCATTGTGAGGAAGATAAAAATGTCAACTAAATGTATCTGGTTTCTAAATGAAACACAACATTACAAGTGAGTGAAAAATATTTGTATTACTGATAGTTTAACAATTTTATTATTTAAAATTATTGTCATAAACTTGACTTGATTTGTGTAATTATTTTCCTGCAGATATATCAATATATACAGAGTAGATTTTACCGTTCACCTGAAGTTTTGCTAGGAATTCCGTATGATCTTGCAATTGACATGTGGAGTCTAGGCTGTATATTAGTGGAGATGCACACTGGAGAACCACTGTTTAGTGGATCTAACGAGGTACAATATCATTATCATTCAATGCTTCAGTCTGCTTAATAATAATTAATATACATGCTTGTTACAACACCCTATAAGCATATGGAGTGCTTTTTCAAGAGTACATGATAACAAGAAACCAGTAGCCCTACACCCTAAATCAAATAAATCCTAAAGCCAACCAAAGAAGTGGAAAAACCCGCAGAAATTAGAGCAGAGGATGTAAACATCATCCCATCATTTATCAGCAATTTCAGACCAAGCTTTTTTTGTCATACGATTTGCTATGGTGATGTCAGTAAGTTTGATGTAATAGAAGATAAATTTGAGAATAGTGAGACAAGCCATTGTGATTAAATAACTTTATTTGTTTATCTTTTATAAACAATTTGTTATATTAAATAGGATATTTAATTCAAATAATGACTTTTAAAAAAAGGTAAGTATGAACATAAATACAGCTCATTATCCACGATTTTGTATTTTCCTGATAGAAACACTATGTATAGATGTGTTTCCAAAATAGAATTGATTGATACTAGTAACTGCCATACAACCATAAGCAATGTTTTTTTTGGAATGTTTTTGTAGAATGACCAAATGAATAAGATCATTGAAGTACTAGGAATGCCACCGAAGAAGTTATTAGATAATGCACCCAAAGCAAGGAAGTATTTTGACAAGTTAGCAGATGGCTCATTTGTGTTAAAGAAGACCAGGGACAACAAAAGGGTAAGTGTTACAAAAAAAGTCCATCAAACCATTTGCTAGATTCCCATCAGCTATGGCTATGTTCTCACACGGCTGCTAACGGTTAGCAGGATCCGGATCCTGCTAACCGTTAGCTGCTGTGCGTCCATACGAAAAAATCCAGATCTGGATACCAAAAATATGATGATCGAACCACTGCCCAATAAGAAACTGGAAATTGTAAACGCGTACGCGTGATTGGTTGATGATAAAAAATGCGCTCAACTTGCTAACCGATACCGGTATCCGGATACTGCTAACAGTTAGCGCTAACCGAACGGGCGTTTTCACGCAGGTGCTAACAGTTAGCTCCCGATCAGGATACTAGGGCTCTTGTGAGAACCAGGCATATGTGATCTTAGGTGATATACTGGTTCTGGGTCACAAACTATTCAAATACCAAGGCACACTTAAATGTAAAAGAACAGCTGCTGCTGCTGCTGATCTGTCAGTAAAAGTGAATAATGCTCAGTCCACACTATCAAATTTTATGTGACAAATTTGTGTGATGTGCCCATATATGGGCATGATAATGTCATACTACACCTAAATATGGTATATTACATTTATTTGTCACATCAAATTTCATAGTGAGCTTAAAGCCCTGTCCAGACTATCAAATTTCATTTGACAAAAACATGTGACATGCCTAAATATGGTCATGATGACATCACATCATCACCATATATAGGCTCATCATGACTATATTTGGGCATACAACAGTTTTTTGTCAAAGAAAGTTTGATTGTGTGGAGAAAGCTTAAGAGTAAAAGGTAAATGTCTCAAAGTGATGGGAGTTTTATGATGATATACATTTAATGATAAAAAAAAATACCATTTTCATTGCAGTACAAGGCACCAGGGAGCAGGAAGTTGCACGAGATAATTGGGGTGGAGTCAGGTGGCCCAGGTGGACGAAGGGCGGGGGAACCTGGCCACACCCAGCAAGACTATCTCAAATTCAAGGATTTGATAACAAAGTAAGATTTAACAGCTTGTGTTTTTTAAAGTAATAACATTAATATTTGATATTATCAGCTTTTTAAAGTGATAACATTAACAGTTGATATTATCAGCTTTTTAAAGTGATAACATTAATAGTTGATATTATCAGATTTTTAAAGTGATAACATTAATAGTTGATATTATCAGCTTTTTAAAGTGATAACATTAATAGTTGATATCAACAGTTTTTAAAGGTTGTGACTGCATACAAGATTCACAGAGCAGCAGCAAAAAAAGGCAACAATTATTTCGCTTAAAAATTCCTGACAGTATCAATCATCCACAAGGAATTCCCAGGCCAATTTCAGAATTCAGGAGGCAGACTTTAAATATTAGAGACAGGGATTTGGCTGAGCTAATTCAAAATCAAGGATATCTTCATGTCATTAGCCATAGGGAATATCCTGGCCAATTCCAGAATTAAAGATACAGATTCCATATTTATTAGCCACAGGGACTTAACATGGACAATTCAATTCCATATTATTGCCAGTCATACTAAACTCAAGATTGAAGTGGGTGTTTTTTTTTTGTTTCTAAATGAAATTTCTGACAGGAAATATTGTATGTTTACATAATATAGAATATTCAACATATATAAACACATGCAATCCTTACATGCCTTACGCAATTCCAAGGGTCATATTCCATATTAGTAGTTAATTTTTACTTCCTTGACAAATTGAGTACTCTAGATGTCGGTTCTTTTGTATTTCATTTGTTATGCATAAATGAAATATGCCTGTGTTTATTTCCTGTTATACACTATTTTACCTCAGGTAGCGGCTTGCACCCCATTCACACACGTTAACATATTAATCTCTATACACACTATAAACTTTTCTTTGACAAAAATCTGTTGTATGCCCATAGTCATGATGTGCCTATAATTTGGTGTTGATGTGATGTCATCATGACTTATTTTAGTTTGTTACATGTTTTTGTCAAATAAACTTTGATAGTGTGGACAAGGCCTGAGCTGTACATGGATGCATGCTAAATACTGTATTACACAGATATTGTAATCAACTGTCTTTCACACACATAGACTTAAATCTTTCTAAAAATCTATACAATCGATAAGCAGAGAGTGATGCTAATGTGTGTAATACTTTCCTATGTTAAAGATGTGTTGTCCCTTGCTAATGTTAAAAAATCATTAAAAATTATTTTGAAATCAACTTGCTCATTTTGCAATAACATACAAATTATTAACTCGTGCATTGAAATTATTGAATTTAAAAAATGTGTACCCTGATTTTTAAACCAGAAAAGTATAATGAAAATAATAAAACACTTCCAGTGACTGGAAGTGTTTATATCATTTTCACTGTAAACTGATGGGTAGACATTTTTTAAATACACTAATTGCTATGTTCAAGTTGATAACTATGTTACTTCAAAATGGGCAAGTTAATTTCAAAAAATATTTTTATGATTTTTTTTTGGTATTTAGCATGGGACAATACATATTTAATTCCACAATTCCATATTAGTCTTACACAGTTAACAACTTAGTCTTTATTTTTAACTTGTGTTTTCCTATGTTGTTGATATTCACTGCATTATGATTGTTTACATTTTAGGATGCTTGATTACGACTCAGTGGAGCGTATAAAGCCATACTATGCTCTGCAGCATACGTTCTTCAAGCGTACAACAGATGAAAGTACCAACACAAGTAATAGTACGTCAACAAGTCCAGCAATGGATCAAGCAGATACCCCACCAGCTGATGGATCATCAGGTTCAAGTTCAGGTAGCTTGTATATGGTCTTGCTCCACTAACTGCTTTGTCATTCCGTTCATTTCTTGCCTCCTTGTTATCTCCTTCACCTACTTCATTTGTCATTCATTTCATTTTACCCTCCATCAATTGTTAACCCTTCAATTGTCATCCCTACATTTTCATCCCTTCATTTACCCTGATTTTTTTCACTCCCATTTTCATCCTGTATTTGTGATCCCCATAATTTGGCACTTCCTTCATTTGCCATTTTGTTCATTTATCATCTGTATTTGCCATTTTCCCCTTTATTTACCATGACACCCTTCATTTACCATCTCCCTTCATTTGTTATTCATGTTTGTGTTAATAGTGTATTAACAAGGTGTTATATAATGTGCGTATAGTTCTGATCTCCATTTAAATCGAATTAAAGCACTGTCATACTAAATGTATATATTTCTTTTTGTTATATTTAGGGGGCTCTGGGTCAGGAGGTCGTGCAAGGTCTGATCCATCCAACCAGTATGGGCCAAGTAATCCTGGTGGCCAAAGTTCACAGAACTCAACAATGGATTTTGAAGGGCATCCAATGAATTCCCACAATGTATGGAGTGGAATAGGAGATATAGCTAAACCTGTTTCACATGTTGCTTACACCTCACGCAAAAACCATGCCTACCCATCACCAGCTGCTCCATCTAGAGACGTTTACAACATGTGCTCACAAAGTAGGACTGTGGGATCACATGGTTTATCCTCTCAGACACAGTGTTCTCAAACAGCAGCAATGAGCATCAGTTTAAATAGCTATCAAAGTGCAAGTTCGCCACATATAGGTACAAACAAGCACAATCATACACACTCTTTGAATTATGCAGGATCAGTAACTACTGGTGCGTATCCGTATGCTTTAAGTGGCGGTACTTCTGTGTCACAATCTCAACAGAGACAGAAAGAAGACTCTCCTATGATGGGAGTATGTGTACAACAAAGCCCTGTCGCTAGTCATTGATCGTTACATAAACTAGCTTGGTTAAATGATTGTGGCAGTCGCACGACATGAGCCCAGATGAGTTGCAGGGTTGGTTTGTTGTTGATGTGTAGTAACATGTTGCAAGTACATAAGTAAGCAAGTATTGACTGGATGACAAGTGGCAACACATTTTAATAATTGAGGCGCAATGATTGTCATATTGTCACAGGATGCCACAAGCAACTCATCTTCATTGCTACTTAAACTTGCTCAACAGCCGAATATATATGAGCAGCGCCCTCATGAGGTGTGAGGTGGCTTTGTGCCTTTAAGGGGTGAGAAATTCCTGATGAGCAGCAAGATGAAGCTAACCTATTCGTCGCTCTTGACTTCCACTACATGCCAAACATCATCATATCTATCTTAATCCATGGCAACTTATTGGCGTGTTAAATGTTTTATAAAAACAGATGGTAATGAAGATGGTGGTGGTAATAAACAATGTGTATAGGAATATAAATAGGTGTTGAGAATGTGATAACTACATGTCCATAAAATCCACAAGTAATACGTCATCTCATTTTCTCTGATTAGTCAGTGAATGCTGACCTATGACCTTGCTATGCTCTGATTGGTCAGTGAATGGCAAGCCATGACCTGCATCTGCTCTGATTGGTCAGTAAATGTAGACACGTTATCTGGCTCTGCTCCGATTGGCCAGTGAATTTTAACTCTGATTTAGTTGGGGAGTACCAACAACACTGGCTTTATTGGTATATTTAGCGCTGGTCAATGGATATCACATGACCTTGTTCATGTTGGTTATTATTGGTCAGATTTGGTTAAAATTAACCATAATTTTGTTTTAATCTGAAGATAAAGTATTTTGGGTGTAAGCTGACCAATCACAGACTACTACCCAATTTAAAAATTGAAATTGCCTCGAGTCATTTCTTAGATAACCTCAGTGCAAATATGTTATTGTGGGTGCAACTTGTAAGTCAAATTGTATAAAGTCAAAACGACTTATGCAATAATGTTGCACTGGTTTGGTCAATCCACCGCATCTCAGGTGAAACCCCCCCCCCCCCTTCCAAATGTTAACCTTTTTTAATCCCTTCCCTTGGTCCACTGCTGTGATCCACCCTTTGCCATTTGTCATCTTGCACACATTTCCATAGGGAAGAATCAGTTGAAATAAACTGTAAAACAGTTGTTGGTATAAATAGTATTGTGCTTACTGAATGGGTCTTCAGCATCACTTGTACTCAAAATTGATCTTAAAAGAGTGATTCATTTAACAGTAGAATTGCTGGTATAATACTCAAGTGCAGTTCTCTCCACCTAATTTTGTTATATATATATAGTCTTTGAAGTGACCATTCTGTTAGAGGCCAGTAAAGAATCCTCCAAATTGCTTTCGCATCTTGATTCAACATTTAAATTGTTGTCATTGATCAGAAAATGGTCATCAATTTAGAGAACTCTTTCCTGCCAGCTCTTCCACTGCTTCAAAACCATGTGAAAATGGTGGTGTTGGCATCCATAAATGCTGCCCTCTAGTTTGTAGAAGGTTTCAATTCATATTTGAGCACTGCCCTCTATGTTGTACAAGGTTTCAAGTAATTATTTGAACACTTTTTCTGTCATTTACCTACTTGTTGTTGGTCATACAGTAACTGGTAATAATATTAAATGAAATACTGGAAATTGTGGTACTAGTATTATTCGACATGACACTGGCTTTCGATCACAGTTCTCTTTAGTGAAGAAAACCTTATAGTACTACAATTTACAGTGCTTTGTTTGCTATATCGTCATCAGACTGGTACAGCCCTGCCATTAACAGTAATTACATGCAACCCATTTAATTGACACAGCCCAGCAATTTATACACTAACACTAAATACTATAATTGGAAAGATAGTATAACATTTGAATATTTTGATTAACTTGATTCAGTATAAAACAAGTTATATGTCAAAGCACTTCCATTATTCCATTTCCTTTATTTGTTATATATGCACATGTATCATTCATCAACAAGGTGTACAAGGTTTTATGTCGTTGCATTCTATCATTATTTCTTTTTTGATATTGTGATTACAATATTTTGATGGGTTATTTTAATGGACAGATTAATCTGTGAACATCATTGTTTTATTTGACCAAGTCACCACACCCAGTAAAGTACTCAAAAGCATGACTCAAACAGTCATTAGGCGAGTTGATTTCCTATAGAATGCAACACCACAGCGCGCGTGCAACGGATATTTTTTAATGACGATGCATTTAGACTGCTACCGACAATCAGTGAGTGCCCGGTCTTAAAAATATCACCAGTATTTTTTGCCTTCTGTACTTGGTTAATGTTGTATTCCTAATTCTACTTTAAAGTTTATGTTGTCTGATTTAAAGTAACCTTGTTAGTAGTAATTGTGTTGGTTCTAAAAACCCAGATAATTACGAAGAGTGTCAGACAAACACAGGCAATGCTTACTCTTCAGAATCAACACCTACAAAGAGGTCATTACCATGGTAAACTGTAGACAATTTTTAATTCTGATTTTCTTTTGTTTTTTTATGGTAACTCAGAATGCATGTATTTTTGGTTTTGCCAATATAAAAGCAATTGTAATGTATTGTAATTGTTAAGTGTGGCATGTTACAATCCCTACATTCCACCTCAAAACACAGTTTTACTGACAATTTTTAATGCTAAATAATTTCAACAAATTAAATCCTAAGAATTTAAAATTGCATATTATTGAATTTGATGCTGATCTATGTTCATTGAAACCATAAGCTAGGTCTCAGGTGCTCATATTTATAGTGTAAGATTTTGTGACTTTTCTATTTTAAAAAATAAACCCGATTTTATTTAGGCAGTACAGAGTTTTGCAGTTAAGGCCATTTTTGTATTTTAAATGATGTACTGCGATCAACTGATGATTTTATGGCAGTGCATTTGGACGATAAGTCAGCAAGTTGTGCAATCTTCACATATATTGCTGTTTTAAAATTAAACCCTAATTAATTAGTTAACACTTTGTTTTGTTTTAACAATTTTGGTCAGTTCTCTGTTTCAGTGTCAGGAATGTAAGCTCTTGAAATTATCATTGATTACAATTATGACATCATTAATGACCATGTGAAATCAGTGGTGAAAATTAGGACATCATTGACTTGATGACAATTTTATACATCATTGATGACAGCTAAGACATCATTGATAACAATAATTATGACATTGATGATAGTGCTAAATTCAGTGGTGACATTTAAGACATCATTGATGACAATTTTATACATCATTGATGACAATTATGATATCATTGATGTCACATATGACATCATTGATGACAATTATGCAACGCCGTGCTTTGTATCACGTTATTGTGTTATAAACGTTTGATTATGAGTAGCAGAATTAGTTATTGTGTGTTTTCTCTACAAGCTAATTCCTCTTTATATGGTTCTTTTCATGTAAATCTGTTAAATACTGGAAATGGGTTTGGGCTTGCATGTTCTCCTTTGATGATGGTCAATATAAATACAAATAACATTACAACACATGACTGTGAAGAACTGTAGGAAACATGTTAAGAGTTGGAAGTAACATTGTTTATTTATGACTTATTAATGATGTATTACTGATTACAGTATTCTAACAGATTTTGATTGATATATGCCCCTTGTCACTCAACGTTTGTTATCCCCCCCCCCCCAAATTAGTTTCTGCAGATTGCTTTGAATTATGTAAAGCTGTAATTTCTGTGAGTGTAATTGATGCAGGGTGGTGCTTTGGCATAGACCTAAAGTTGGATTTGATTAGCCTGTGTTATGATTAAGTTTGTTGCATAATTTGATCATAAAATGAGCAACTGTATGTAGGAAAGCTCAATGGGTTTTATTTTGAAGCAATGCATTTATTACTTGCAGAGTTTGCCATGTGAAAGCTATAGAGATAATAGATAGAGAGCAAGTTTTGGACATGTTAACAATGCTGACTTTTGCCACATATGTAACTCAATGTTATTTATTATATTTACAGGCATTGGTCATGTTTATGAGGGAAAAAAATACTGCTGTAATAGTTTTTAAATAAGGCAATGATGAGAGTGGTAGAGTATGTATGGAGAGCCTATGTAGGCTATTGTGAGAGTAGTAGAGTTTGTCTGATGTACAACCTCTATCCAAAACTTTAATGAAATGCTCTTATAAAGAGTCTTGTAGCAATGCTCTATTAGCCTTTATGTACAGATGTTCTGTATTTAGCTTTTATTGTACAGATGTTGATATGCCAATTAGACAATGTTCTTCATTATAGATAACAAAAATAGTATGTTGTCATCCAGTCTCTTTATTTTGTTGGTGTTTTTTTTCACCAATATGTATGTCTCAATTACTACAAAATATCAAGTAACGTCATCATCTCAAACTACTGTCACTCCAAACACCATGACATTAGGAACAGCATCAGAAAAGAATCTGATTTTACTTTTTCATCAATTTCTCTTAGCAACATCAAATCATGGATTAATACTAAGATCAAATCATGATGTGCTGATGAACATGAGTGCACAGGTTCTTGTGAGTGGGCGGGGATCGCCTAGGCTTAGGTTCCCTTGGCCTAGCTGGGTGGGGAGGCAAGGCAGTGATGTGGGTGTACTGTATAGTGCCTTAAGCCTGTTTTACACTTGCAAATTTATTCGCGCGAGTCAAAAGCGTCTGTTTACTCGCATTCACATTTCTATCGGAGTTTTCGCATCAGCGAAATCGGTAGTTCGAACAGTTTCTACTTTTTGCAAAGCGGAAAAAAGTGCGCAACCAATCGGAGGTCAGGAACTGAACCGACGCCTTCGAGATTCACGCGAATAAATTCGCCTAGTGGAAAACAAGCTCAACACAAACGAGCAATTTGTTTTTAGTTTCTATGCTTTCAAGCAAAGGAACCTTTAGGATACCCTTTGTGTTTATGTATGTATGTGACATGTATGTTACGCTGTTTTTTGTAAACAGGCAAAAGTGACTTTCCAGATATCTGTTCGTTATGAACGTCCGTACCCAAGCAAAACTTGATATGGCGTCGTGCCCTATTGAATAATTTCTATTTTGACAAATGTTAAAGCCATACCTAATGAAAGACAATACCCCCTACCCTTGAAAAGACAAGAAAACTATATAAGAGGAAAACATTTATGGAATGTTTACCTTTGTTTTCCAACTAACTGTCTTAATGTGATGGATTGGACTCTAGGGACTTTCCTGGGTAGTATGGACAGAAAACATTACA